AGTTCTCTGATCCACCTCCATCTCAGGAGGTGGTGGAGGGGTCTTTTGAGGAGATTGGGGTGTTGGCTGGGGAACCCTCGGCGATCCATTGCCTTCCTCAGGTTCCCTTATTGCGACGCCGATGGTCATCGGCCTCTGCTGAAAATCATGAGGGCCGATGATGGCCATCCTTCGGCGCCTTTTCAGAAGGGGCTGCTCGTCCATATCTGAGTCTGAAGACTCTTGTATTTGATCTTCGGGACGAACAGGAGCTTTGCCTTCTCTGTGTCTGTTACTCTCTTCAGACTGTAACAGACAGGGGGGAAGAAGAGTAAGAGTGTGAGTAAAAAAAAAAAAAAAAAAAAAAAAAAGAAAGAAAAAAGTTGTCTAAAAACTCACCGAGGTCTTCAGCAAAGCCTCGTCTTCTTCAGCTGCTCTAGCTGCAGCTTCGGCTTCAGCAGCTCTGGAGGACCCTTCTCCTCCTTCACAAGCTTCAATAACCCGTGCAACCTCTTCGGCTGTACGGGCAGCTTCAGCTTCTTCTTCCAGCAGCTGAAACAAGGGATCCCTCTTCTTCCACCAAGGCTTCTGCCTCTGATACAGAGCAACAGCCTCAATTTGGAAGTGGGAAGAGTCTAGGTGAACCTCTCGGCGCCTTGGTTCAGTGATAGGGGGAGCCCGATCAGTTACGACTCGTTCTCGGTTGACGCCAAGGCGAGCGTAATCAATGCCGATGTTGGTCTCGTCCCGTTCTGAAAAAGAAAAGGGGAGAAGTCAATTCAGTTAGTTCGGCACATCACAAGAAAGCAAAATGAAAGAAGAAAAGAGATAATTAAAAGGCCTCGGCCCCAGCCGAAGAAGATTACCATCCCTAAACTTTCGGCTGAGGCCGACAGCTGCCAGCATATTCTCTTGGAAAACATAGTGCGTATCGGGGAGCCAAGTCTCCGGGATATGCTGCATTCGGCCGCTGCCTCCCCGGTTCGGCAGCTTGCCGAAGATGTTCTGCTGATTAAGGTTCGGGTCTGGCCCGCTATCTTCGGGAGGACCTAAACTTCCCATATCGGGATCCGGCTCGGCAAGATACCGGGGAGCGCTGAAAACATAAGGATGGCTCGGCTCCGTGGGCGCCCTAACCCAAATCCATTGACCTCTCCAGTCCTTGTCTGAAGAGTCGTTCGGCCACATGGTTAGGAACGGGGGCCGAGACTCAATCCGATACCACCCAGAACCATGGCTTCCGTGCCCACTCTGAATATTTGGCACTAGCCGATGGAGCTTTCTGAAGCAGTGCAGGTTCGGCACGTATCTGAAGAATTTGCAGACCCATAAGTACGTCATTACCCTTCGGATGCTGGTGGGGGTCAGCTGGCACAGGGAAATGTTGTAATGGATCAGCAAGTCTCGGACGAATACGTCCAAAGGGAACCTCAGCCCATACTGAAGCTGTCTCGTGTACACCCCCACATACCCCGGGGGTGGACGATGGATTCTATCGGATGCTGAGGGCATTCGGCACCAATATCCATCAGCTTCAAAAATGCCGTAGTGCAACTCAATTTGCTCAGCAAATCGATATTGATCGGCGTTCTCTACCCACCATGAGTAGGGACGGTTCTTTATCATGGCCGAAGCTACTTCGGCATCCTCCCACTCTGAAAACCCTGGGAGGATATCCCAAAGGACAGCGGGAACTTCATCATCCCGTCCTGAAGCTCTCACCCCCTCAGCCCTCTGAGGAGGAGCCGAAGAAATGGGAGTCGCCCTAACCCCTTCAGCAGGGTCAGACTCTGTCCTTCGTCCATTCCAGGTCCCAATCCTGTCCCTGGGATCGGGGATTAGCCTTGCTCTCCTTGGAGCACGGGCTCCACCTCTAACTCCCCTCACCATTGACGAATTTCGAAGGAAAAAGTCGAAAAAGGGGAAAGAGTGCAAAGTCGAAGAAAGATGAAATAAAATCAAAGGAATTTACCTTGATCTGAAGCAAAAGCCGCCGATTTACGAATTGGTAGTGACAAGTCTCAGCTTCTAAGCTTAATGCTCGGGGAATTTGCGAAGTTTTGATGCGGGCTCTTGAGCGTTCTTGAGAATTCTGGGTTTGTGTTGATGAGTGAGTGGGGAGAGAAGACGCGCCTCTATTTATATCTCCAGAAATGGGAATTCAAGGAGTCTGCGTTTCAATTTCTCTCAAGCACCCCACTAAGTAACCGTTAAACACACAACCTTGCAGTTAAATCGCCCACTACCCGTCCAACTTCCGCAATCACCCACATTAACTGTTGTTATCTCATTAATCATGGGTTAATTACGGTTTAAATTCACATTTTTGGATCAGCAAATCATTCACTTCCCTCCTTTTCTGGTTAAATCAAACCCGACCCGTCATCCTTCCAAATCGGGTCTGGGGGGCAAGTTGTTTGGGTCCAATTTAGTCCAATTGGGCCTGGTCACTGAATGATCCAATTAAAAGCCCAAGGCAAAGGTTCAACTCTCCAAATATGCTAAAGTCAAAAATCAACATCCTCAAAGCCATGTCAAGGTCAGTCAACGGCCCAATCAGCTTGGCCCAGCCCAACTGATTTCCGGGCCCAATCCGCCTCCTTCATTAGCCAAGGTATAAAAGCCAACAATTTGGTCAATTCTTGGTAAGACAAAAAGACAAAGACAATAAAGCCTCAAGCAACTAAACTCTTGCACAGCTTTCTCTCTCTAATATACTGACTTAAGCATCGGAGGGGCCTTCCTCGGCGTCCCCCCCGAGGCTAGTTTACGTGTATTTGTTGTGCAGGAAACCCTCGGCTCCTGCGTCGTTCGGACCGAGACCAAGTTCCCTCAAGATAAAAGGATCTTCCGAGATTCGATTGTTTTCATCCGAAACAAATATTTTTGTTTATTATTAGTTATTTATCAAGGGGTAATGGTGTTAGGTTGCTTTTGTGGATTTTTGGTTAAATTTATGGATTTTAGGTTAAATTTATTGATAAGTTTTTTCCCTTCTTTTTCATATTTTGTTTCTCTAAATTTACTGTAATTTGCGAAAACTAGTAAGAGCAACAATAACTCTTGATATTACTCCCCATAACCCCTAAGTCCTAACATAGTGATTTGATCTTTAAATTATATGACAATAATTAGATTATTACCAATGAGATAATGAGATATATTTCCTCCACTTCTTAACAAGTTAAGTTTATTATACACTTATTTAAAGTGAACATATTACATCTATAGACTATGTACGAAGACATATATCGACTTAGGGCCTGTTCTCCTACGTTTATTTTCAGCTCAGCTCAGTTCAGTTCAGTTCAGTTCAATTCAGCTCCTAATTTCCTTCTCTTATAAAATATTCATTTTAGTTCAGTTCATTTCAGCTCAGTTCAGCTCGGTTCAGTTCAGCTAATTTCATTCTATTAGAATAGGCTCTTAGCTTGTATGTATGGTTATCAATCAAACCAATTAGCACTTGTTATTAATCAACAGAATCTAATTAGAATAGCTATTTAAGTTTTTGAAAAAGTGATTATGATGATGTAGATAATTCAAAGTAGCATAAGAAAAAAATATTCATAGGGATCACACATGTACGTGGATTGATGGGTACAAAAATTGCTCTCTCTCTCTTCTCTTTTTTTTTAGAGTGAGTCTAGCATCCGTGTATACGGCTTTGGTGACCTGCGGACTCGTTTTGGAAGCTTACCCGACGAGGTAAAGGAGATTGTGGAGCTTTCAGGGATCGGTCGCGCGCTAGCGGCTCTTTAGGATTTGTCGACTCAGTCTGCTTCGTCAGCTTTCCTCCGCGGATTGCTGGAGTTTTGGTGGGATTCAACCAACACTTTTAACTTTCCGTGGGGAGAGATGACGGTCACCCCTTACGACTTCTCTATGATTACGACTTTTAACTTGAGACTGAGGGATCTCGTGGGGGATCGTCTAGCGGCGATCCTTCATGTATATCCTCAGTCTTGTCCGTACTCGATTCTTGCCGACAAGTTGTCGGCTGACGAGGTTGACCAGCAGTGTACACCTAAGCAGTTGGCTCGGATATACATTGCCCACATTTTCCATCACTCTCTTGATTGATCGGGGGGAGCGTTTCCCTATCGGGTTACTTACTTGCCTCATAGACTTAGGGCAGGTAAATAACCTAAACTGCGCAGAGGTGTCGTATGGTCGTATGCTTAGAGCTATGGGCAAGGCGACCCGAGTAGTGGATCCTGCGGCAGCTACTAAGGTGCCTCGGATCTCCCTTACATGGCATGGTCGTATCCTTGAGGTACGTACTTTAAACTTTCTTTTAACTTTTTATTATTTATTTTCCTCTTTTTAAGTCGTTTCTCCTTTGTTTAGGCTTGGGGATACTCGTACTTGCCTAACCTAGCCCCCATAGTGCTCGGGGCTGCTTGCTTTCCTATCGACCATTGACTGGCTACGATTAATAAATTCCTAGTCCTAACATGTGTTAGGTCCTCTTCTCACATGCTTCCACCATTTTATGACACAGTAGAAAAACAATGCTTTGTTTTAAATACAAAGATACACTTCTATGCAATTACAAATTTGACTATACCTTTGTTCAAATCACATAAATCGATGCATTATTTGACTACATATACTATATACATGGACTCAAAACCATATATAAGTAGGGTCCCATACACCACGATATACAGTATGTTACTCCTATGCTTGTTTATAATTGAAACATGCTAATATTATTAGTTTGCAGTCCTAGTATATGGTAGTAATCCTAGCATAATTATTGTGTTAAACACCTATTGGTAATTTTAATGTTGTATTATCTTTATAATTCTCATTTTCACACTGTTTTTCCCCTTTAAATGGGGTCAATTTGACTGATCAAACCTTATTATGCAATATTCTCCCTATAAATAGGCTTTGTTAATATCATATTACTAGGTGGAAAATGGAAACCACCAGTCCACCAATGCATCTTTTGAGGATCATATGCATGAATGCATGATCCGTTTGCTATGCTAGTGGTATCAAACCCTACTCGTATCAAGCAAGATGTCAAATCTGTAATTTGGAAATTCACTCACCTAGTTATAATAGGAGTATGAAATGTCTTGCTATGATATAGCTTTACTTAAATAAAATTGATAATTTAAAATCATGAAATGTTTGTTTTTACGATATAAGGACATAAGGTTATAATTAAGAATAACATTCTCTAATTGTTTAAAGGTAAGAAGAAAGACCCTAACCGTACCTCAACCCTCACGATATTTTTTGGTCCGGTATTTGCCGGTCAGACTAACATTTTTTAATTGTTTCCTCTAAAAAGTGGTAAGAATGATAAAGGGTTGCACTGAGTCATTGACCACCAGATTTTAAAATTAGGAATGTTGATAAAAAAAAAAAAAAAAAAAAAAGGAGTTGGGGCTTAATTGTGGGCTTGGATCCCTCGGTGTTATACTTTCTTTCAAGCCCAATAAATCGTTTGGCCCAATATCTAACCACTTATATCAGGCCCAGTTATTTGTGTACTGGAATTGCAATGCATTATGTTCTAAATCCAACAATCCAATCCTGTTTTTTTTGGCAATGAGAAAATTTCTATTATATATAGCCCTTAAGCAAATTACAGTTGATAATTTACTAGCTTGATGATAACAATGACAATTGATACTTCCATAACACAATTTGTGTTTGTTACAATGTAAGAATTTGTTCAAATGACTGATGTCAAAGATTAGATCACATAGCAGCCTAGCAAATGATATGAAGCTTTATCGCGTTCAATTGTAGAATCCAGAGTAATTATCCATGCTGCAATAGGCAATGTAGCACCATTAAAACCACGAATTTAAAATCTCTATCAAATATTATTGAATACTTTTTTAAAACAGGAATTTGTTCTTAGAAAATAGTATGTTCATGTAATATACAATCATGTTGTGTTATGTATTTGCTTACCTTACAAGCATGTACATTATCAGACCCACAAAGCAGCTCTCCATTTAACATGTCTAGGGCATCGAAAGCACCCCCTCCCTCACTTCTCTGCAAACACATATATATACGATTAATACGAAAAATTTATTAGCATCATCTAATCTAGTACGGTGTTGTATGTTACATGCCACTAAGTTATTAGTGTCTGTGCAATATGCGACTTTATAAGTTATAACTAACTTTAGCGAATATATTACAGAACAAATTTACGGGTGTATGTACCTTGTAATAATCAACAGCAACAAAATTAGCCCATCTATTCCCAGCAACATCATGGCATGTATGAAGAATTTTGATCAAATTCGCGGAATTGTCAACACAAGAAAGGTCTCTCAAGGGCACAGACCTGAAAAAGTTTACTAGAACAAGAGACTTGGTTGTAGCATCAAGAGCTGATGATTCTGCCCTGTTTGTGCAATTTCCTGCTTTCATCCCACCGTCTCCATCTGTAACAAAAATTTTAACCACACATTATAAAACAACCCTTTATTTTGTTTGAGACATTTTATAACAGTTTAATCAATAATCAGCTAAATTCATATTCAATAAGTTAAAAACAAAATTAGTAAAAATCAGTTTTAATCAGCAAAAAATCAAGTTAAACATTAATCCGATAAAATAAACAGGAAGAGAGGCTGTTTACATTGATTTTCGACCATATAATTCCATTGATACGGGATGCCTTCACTAACTTCCTTAGATCTCATAGAAGTAAACACAAGAAGCCTTTGGTTTTTCGCTACCATGTCACTAACTAATGGCCAATCCTGGCCTTGTTTTGGCATCCTTGAAGTAGGAAACCAGTACTTCATTAACCCTGCCTTTGTAAATACTTTGGTTAACCCCTTGGGTGCCTTAACATAGTCCTCCAATATCAAGGTCACAATCTCTGTTGGGTTGGAAGATAAGAAAGCTTCAATCTCTTTCAAAGTATCAATTGCTGGTTCCTGATAGATGTACTTAGACTTAACAAAGCTTGATTCTTAAAATAAATAATCGATCTGTGTTGTGCTAAACATTACAGATCAATTTTAAATTTATAATAGTAGTAATGGTTTATCATCAGATTTTCTAAGAACCGTGACCAACTATTTAAATTATAGGTAGATACATCATGTCATATCCTTTTTTATGATGAATTAAGACAATGTGTTAAGCTATATAAAAATATTTGAATTTGGATATGAAATTAACTTACAAAAGCAGTATAATCATAGCATTTTCCTCCAAATGAATGACACAACCATACATCTCCATTGAAGTCATATGTATCAAGCATCAAGGCTCGAACTCCATTCTAAACATAAACAGAAACGAAATAGTGTTATTTTACAATTTTACAATTGTACATCAATATTATAGACATTTAAGCGAAATCCATATGAAGAAACTCTTACATGTAGCTGTTGAGTGATTCTATCTTCTTGATTTGAAAAGGTGATTCGAGGAACTTTGGTATGAGATGGTTCTCCATCAATAGCAAACGCGTTATGTGTTGTCAAGAATGCATATTTGTTGAAAGGTAGAGAATTGTTCTACATTCGACGAAACAAAGTTAAAAGTAATCCCTTCATCCCTAAATTACAAAGTACTATATAGTTACAGTCTTACAGAGCATTACTTTATCTGTATACAGATTACAAAGTACGAAGTAGAGTTGATCATCATCGAGTCATCCCCAAATAGATACATTCGTGAAAAAGTAGGCCAAATTAAATTCATGTATCAAACTCAAATTTATCATGTGACTACAAAATGGGTGCATTTGGTGGGGACTAACTACCTACATACAGTTGATACATTAAAGTACTTGACGAAACTTCATTGGACAATGACTTAACTATGTCACGCTTTTTTTTTTTTTTGAAACATACAAGGATGGGAGATATTCAATTCTGCAACCAAATCTAATTTTTTGCAAATTCAACTCAATCAACTAATCTACTAGCATATATCTTCACCCAATTCATCATACAATGCCAATAAATCTAATACGGAGTATTAATTTTGCGAATGTGCTGTAAATCAAACTAGTCGTAGAGTGTATATTGGTGAACCCGTGCAAACATATAAAATTGTAATTAGATGGTACAAGTGACCATGTTAGACGACAAACAAAATTTGAATTACGAAGTACAACGTTATAATCTTGTGAATTATTTAAATAAGTCTAATGAATTTTCCATTAATCAGACGGGTAAACATAATTAATTACATGTTAAACAAATTAAAATTGAGATTAATTAAGATTATGTAATACCAGGAGTTTAAATTGATCAGTGGTGGTACTTCTAACGCAGCTTGGTCCTTTAAATCCTGCTACACAATCAAAGCAACGGAACCCTTCTTCACATTTCCCACACAAATCTACTTCCTTGAAATCCTGTGAATTCTTATAAAAAAAAAAAAAAATCATTAATCACGAACTGTCGCATAAAAATATGATATCTTATTATTAGAATAAAGTTTAATAAAAAAAAAAAGTAATTTGATAAGATAAAGAATTGAAAACAAACCTTGCATTCAGAATTGGAGCACGAAAATGAGAGCAGAAAAGAAGACTGAAGTAAGAGTATGAAAATGTAGGGAAGAAATGTATAAAGAGACATAATGTTTGGTTAATAAAAGGGTGAAAATAGAATTAATGAATTATATGTGTAATGAAGCATAAAAGTTGTGATATGAAACAATGAAAAGATTGTTTTTTTTTCTTCCCTTTTTTGAAATTTTGATTTACATAAAGATTAATATTACAAAAAAAAGTATAACGAGAATACGGCATTTATGGCAGTATAATGGGGTGTGACTGTTAAATTTTGGCTCTTCATGGAATGGAATCAAAATTGATGTCTTGAAAATTTCAGTAATCCTTTATTTCCATGCATCCATCTTTATTTTCATTAATGAGTATTGAGTATATTTTTATTTGTACAGAGTAACACAAACTTTAGGGCTCAATTAAAATTTGAATTTTCTAAATTACAGTGTCTATGATTATGGCCTTGCGGGTTGTTTAAAAAAAAAAAATGGCCATATGGGTATGTTCGCTTTGCGTTAATATAGTAATACGACGTAAAATTATCAGTACAATCTAGTACGTAGTGTGTCTAATATATAGCAACAGAAATTATTTTTGGCCTATTTCGGAATGTTGTTGCATTGGTTGTCAAGACTCAAGAGATGCAAAAGATAGGTTACAATCATCAACATGGCATCCCAACGTTTCATTAAGATAACAAGAATCCTTTATTAGGTTATCAAACCCAAACCCACCATCATTTACCAAGTTACAATTACATTGTTGAGTATAGAGAACATACACATAGTACATGCAAAGAAATTAACTATTGTTGACTGTTGAGTGTATATTATTATGCACATAGTACCAGTAAAAACTTAGGGCTTGTTCACATTTACTAAGCTGAACTGAGTTGACATGAATATTTCATGAGAGGAAGAAATTAGGAGCTGAACTGAACTGAACTGATTGGAGCTGAACTGAAATTAAGCTGAAGTGAACAAGCCCTTAACGAGATAAGCTATTCGCTTGTTCCACTGTATTACACGCATGAAAAGAGCCAAAGATATGACAATGTCAACTATAGGTTGAAAAGTTAATCCTTGATCGATTCAATTAAGATTATATTTTTGAGACAAAAAATTAAAGGAGGTGTATAAATTATTGAACTTCCGACCACCGGTCCACCGTTGGCTATGCTTAACGACTATAAAGTACTCCTTATGTTAGTAAGTAGGTATATTGTGGAGTATTGGAAATTAGAGATAAGCTCAACAATGAAAATTGGGTGAACATAAGTGGAAGTTGACTTGTAAAAATACATGATTAGATTAGTCCACTCTTATATAATTAGTAAAACCATACTATTATTTATCACCAACTTTAAAGGCTTTAAGCTTTATACTTTGTCCTCTTATACCAAAAGTACTGATTAGTGATTACTTTAACACGAGGATAAGTATATCCATTATCATTTGACAGTTCATAACATTGTACTTATCACCTTTTTGATTCAATATTTTAGAGACAAATGTATGTGTCGTTTCTACTAAGTATTTGATTAAAGCATGCATAAAATTGTTTACAAAGGTGCATTACATACATTTTACATACACATGTTTCGCAACCAAAATATATAAGGGGTGACTTTTATATAAATTTGTTTGGCTTCCTACCAAAAATTGGACTATTTAACGTTGAACATATCTTCCAATTTACAAAATAAAAGAAAATTACTGTGTAGTGTTTTATTTTCAGAATTTCAATATTAGCTAGGTTTGATTAGGAAAATATCGTTTGTGATACAGTACGTATCCATGTCAATTAGATATGCATGATATGATTTGCTAGATAATATATTAGGAAATTTGATACAATATTACAAGGTTTATGAAATATACAAAGTAGTAACAATATAGTATAGTTTCCTAACCATCAAGATTTGCTGAGATGTATAGACTTGGTTGATTGATTCGATCATAAGAACAAATAAAATTTGCATTTTTGTAACCTTACCACTTCTTTTACAAAGGTTTTTCAATGCGGCAAGTCACATGGTATGTCAGAGGTTACTTGTAGGGTGTTACATGGTGCGGTAGGGGTTACTTGTAGGCCAGTAACATCCTATAAATATCCCCTGATCAAAACCAATAACACCCTACAATTAACCTCATAATACAAGTAACACCCTGACCAAAACCGGTAATACCCTACAAGTAACCCATACCACACCATGTGACCAGCCGCATACAAAAAATTGTCCTTTACTTATTATTCATAGAAATATAATCCAAAGTTCCAAACCCAAACAATTACTACTGAATTACGTACCCCTTAATTTCTTATCATCAAACTAAATAATATAATGGTCTCATATTTATTTTAACAACATTGAAACAAAACAATTTATTCAAATACTTTGTGTTTGGGTCCAATTTAGTCCAATTGGGCCTGGTCACTGAATGATCCAATTAAAAGCCCAAGGTTAAGGTTCAACTCTCCAAATATGCTAAAGTCAAAAATCAACATCCTCAAAGCCATGTCAAGGTCAGTCAACGGCCCAATCAGCTTGGCCCAGCCCAACTGACTTCTGGGCCCAATCCGCCTCCTTCATTAGCCAAGGTATAAAAGCCAACAATTTGGTCAATCCTTGGTAAGACAATAAAGCCTCAAGCAACTAAACTCTTGCACAGCTTTCTCTCTCTAATATACTGACTTAAGCATCGGAGGGGCCTTCCTCGGCGTCCCCCCCGAGGCTAGTTTACGTGTATTTGTTGTGCAGGAAACCCTCGGCTCCTGCGTCGTTCGGACCGAGACCAAGTTCCCTCAAGATAAAAGGATCTTCCGAGATTCGATTGTTTTCATCCGAAACAATTTGGCGCCGTCTGTGGGGAGCGCTACTAAATTTCGCGTCAGTCATCAAACACTCCGGCAGTCGCCATGACTAAGAGTGGAAAGAGTTCCAAGAAGGCTAAGAAGGGAGGAGGCCGGATTACGGTGAGGGAACGCCAGCCGGTTTATCCCTCCCCGGAGCAAGCCTCTTCCGAATCGGAGGCCCCCATTTCTCCGGAAAGGGAAGCCTCAAGAGGTCCTAGCCTCCAGGAGGAGAACACCTCGCACCACACTCGGCAGCCGGGGCCATCCCCGAGACCGAGTGGCTCAGGTGCGAGGAACTCCCCGCCGCGCCATAGCGTGCAGTCCAGGTCACATCCGCGGGAGACTCCTCCCTCCGGACCCTCCACCGAGGAAGTGGCCAGAGCAGTGGCCATCTGCATGGAGTTCCTTAAAGCTCAAGGGGCTCCAATCCAGATGCCTGATGATCACCAGCCGAGAAACCTGAAAAGGAGGATCGGTCAGGATGATGGTGGACAAGTTCCACCACATAGACAGCTCGGCCAGAGGTGGCGAGGGGACACCCGAAACTCCAGTAAGGAGAGGAGGAGGAACCCTCAACCCTCTGACCACTCCGAAGCTCAGAATTCCATGGGGCCCTCCAAGGACCCGGAATTCGCCCGCCAAAGCGTTCATGAACGCTTGGGTTCGAGGGAGGTGAGTGTGCATAGCCGCCTCACCTTCCCAGAGGATACCGGACCCCACCCAACCTTGTCTCAGCCGGGGACGAAAACCACTTCCACCTCTGAGAGAGGAGGGAGCGAGGTCCCTGAGGCCGGGTACAAGGGGAAGGCGGTCATGGTTCCATCGAACTCGCCCTTCCAGAAGTGGATTCTGGAAGAGCATGTGCCAACGGTCAAAATCCCGGCACATATTACTTACGATGGTACCTCAGATCCTAAGGATCACATTGCCTCTTACGAGGGGCACATGTATCTGAACCCGAGGTCTGAGGCTACCTGGTGTAAATACTTTCCTACGACCCTCAAAGGTGTTGCCCAATCCTGGATCACCAAAGGGCTCAAGGAAGGCTCCATAACCGGTTGGAACCACCTCTCCAACAAGTTCAAGAGCAAATTCTCTACGGCCAACCGCCGAGAGAAGACCACTGCAGAGCTAATGAGTCTGCAGCAGGCGGAGGACGAGAGCCTCCGCGACTATCTGACTCGCTTCAGCAACGAGTCATCCGGAATCACAAGCCTGGATCAAGGCCTGGCCGTGTTCGCGCTACGGAACGGCCTCCAAGCTGGAAAGTTCCTGGACTTCATGGTCATGCATCCCCCGCAGACCCTGGAGGAAGCCTTGGAAGCATCGGATAGGTTCATCCGAGCCGAGGAGTGGAACAGATCCAGGTCTCAGTCTCGTCCGAGAATTGAGAAGCCGAAAGGGCAGCAGCCCGAAGTCTCGGCGCAGAGGAAAGGGAAGGCTAAGGCCTCAGAACCGTCCTCTGCTGCCGAGCCGAAGAAGGAAAGACACTTTCCCTACACGGGAAGGTACGATTCATACACTCCACTCTCCCTTCCCCGTGCTAAGATTTTCAGCACGACGAAGGACGAGGGGAGATTCAAAAAACCTCGTCCATTGCCTCCCTGGCATCAGACGAGGGGAAAGGACCAGTGGTGCGAGTTCCATGACTCACCCGGACATCGCACCGAGGACTGCGTCCAGCTGAAGGACCAGATTGAGGATCTGGTCCGCAAGGGGTACCTGAGCCAATACCTCGCGGACAGGCGCGAGGAGAAAAAAGCTGAAAAAGATTCTCGGCAGGACCTCAACTTCGCTCGGAAGAAGGATAAGGGACCTCAGGGCAAGGAGTCCCTCGACATCCTGGTTATTTCCGGGGGAATCTCGCAAGGCACAGCCAAACGCCAACTGAGGGGTCTAACCCATCAGATTCATCAGGCTGAGCTTCGGCAGTCCCAGTCACCGGCGCCGAACATCCTGTTCACAGCCGAAGACTGTGAGGGGGTGGTATACCCCCACGATGACCCACTAGTAATCATTCTGGGCATCGCCAACCGCAACGTCTGGCGGACCCTCGTCGACGGCGGTAGCGGGGCGAACATCCTCTTCCGAGGAGCGTTCGACCAGCTGAGGATGGGAGCCGAGCACCTGGCCCCCGCACCCTACCCGGTGTCTGGATTCAACGGCTCTTCATCGTATCCTGACGGGAAGATTACACTTCCTGTCACCATCGGCGAAGGCCGAGCAGCTAGGAATATCATGGCCGAATTTTTGGTCGTAGATGCTCCATCTGCATACAACGTGATCATGGGGAGACCCCTCATTCACGGCATTCAAGGAGTCGTCTCCACGTATCATCAAATCATGATATACGTTTCAGACGAGGGACGCTCCGAGAAAATAA